CTTAAGCATAGCCAGAATTTTTAGTGAGTAGTCTATCATACTAGCAACACTACTGATATTTATACTGTAATACCAATGTCAAATATTCAGAAATTAACTAGATCCAACATTTAGCTAACAGTTACCTAAAACCACTTACAATCACAGTTACAAAGTGTTCAAAAAGTATCATACATTGACTAAAGTCCTGCACCAGATTAAATGTGGATGACTGAAGGATATCCAGACTAACTGGAGGATGAGGGACAATGCACAGCAGGACATGAATGTGGAGGCAACTGCATCCATTAACAGACTCTGACCAAAGATTCTCTTTGAGAAAGCACATGTTTAATATTAAGTATGTAGAAGGGATGATATTTTAAATGTGAACACTATATTGTGGGGTAATACAAATGCAAATACAAAATGTTTTAAAGCATGTTTTAAAACAACACAGAATTCAGCATGCTTTGTTCAAAATCTTGTAAGAAAGATCTGAAAGAGGAAGAAAAACAACAAGAAAACCAATGATTCCTAGGTCTGATCAGATATTAGCTACATAAGACTATTTTAAAGACAGGAACTAAAACCATGAATGTCCAGTTTAATTATTTTGCTCCCCCAGCTGAATCACGTTTTATCCTATATATGCCAATTCCAAAGGACATTATTTCATTATACAAAAACACCTCAGCTGACTGAACAACTAACAGAAAGGATAGATAAATTTCTTAACAAACAGAACACAAAAGTACAATCCAAATACACTTGGGAGCATTTAACAGCATCTGTAGTGTATGTAAAACTAAATTAGTCACTTCAAAATTATGAATACTAACTAATGTACTCAAAAAAAAGAACTGAAATTAAAATAATGCACTCAACACTGTCTGAACTTTCTATCTTAAGCTTAAGCCACTAAAGTACAAGCTCCAATTTACAGATTCTCTATATTTCCAATATCTAAATATAAAAAGCACAACTTTTCATACAATCTGAGAAAAGTAAATTCCAGCATAGCACAGTAACAATGCAGAAAACTGTTGCATTCAGTTTAGTGAAATGTCCAAGACAAGCAGGGTTTTAGAAACTTCTCAATTTCAGTTTCCTAAGGTTTGAACTGAACTCTACATAAATGTAAGGCAGCTCACAGGAGACTTGGTGGGTTCCAAATTTTGAACTTTATGCAGTGAAGGTCATCTTGCAAACAAGTAAAAAACTGACATGAGGTAAGAAGAAAGGCTAGAACACTAAAATCACAAAAAAGGGCCTGAAAGATACCTTTCCGCTATCAAATATAGCCCTAAGCCACTCAGAAAAACCCATGGCATGTGCTCTGTCTGATGACATTATCCTAGAAAGTGGAGGGAACTGCATGTCTTCATGGGACATGTCTTCTGCTGGTCACCAACCTGAGCTTACTTCTTTAAGCAGATGAGATCTAGCTACTGAGTCTTGACACTCCTCTCAAATTTCAATCCTACCAGAGTATGGCAAGGAAAAATGTTAAGTGGGAATCCAAGAGATTTTAAAGGGGTGAAAAAAAAAAAAAAAAAAAAGGAGAGATTTCTACATCCAATGAAACATGAATACCACTTCCTAAGGTGGTTCGACTATTTTAAAAGAAAAAAAATGGTGAAGACACTGTTTCAAGTTTTCACTAAACTGAGTGATATGCACTATATGGTAGCACTTCTGTAAACAACTACTGAAAGAATTTTGGGCATCTCTAGTATGTTTCCTAATTTTATGACACAAACCCCAAAAAACTCACATCATAAGAAACAAACTTGGTCTGTATGCACCAGGCATCGTATATTCCTGGCAAAATAAGTCACAAGAAACTAAATTAGTCTTATCAAACATAAGATGAGTATAGATTAGTGATTACAAGAGATTTGTGAATTTCTTTACAATCTACTACATAAATTTTCTCCTCTTTATACATAAACATCATGGATTTAAACAGCATGTCTTGTACAACATACCAGCAACTGACATACCAAAAGTAAAATAATTGATTGTCCAGTTTCATGTGGACAGTAAAGAAACTGCCTTTAAGACTGTAATCCCGTGCTGGTTTACAATTAGATCTAGCAAGATATACCTTATCACAAAGACAGACATAGCAGACCTTCTGTATTCCAATAACAAAACATGTGCTGTAATTTCTGCACCTGACAAAAACTGACCATCAAAACTACAAATTGTCAAAAATTCCCTATCACCAGGCACATTACATCAGTGCCTACCTGCCCACATAGACTCATACACTCATTTCTGTAATGACAGCATCACTCAAAACCACTGAAAACAAGAACTCAAGGCAGTACAGTTCCCAGTACCTCTATACCCTGCCTAGAATTCACAAGAAGGTCTAATGACACTTGCAAGCATGTAACTAGAAAGTCAGATCCCACTTAGTCATGTTCAAATATAGGCTGTGAGAATTTAAATAAACCTAAACCAGGAACACAGTGAAGACAAGGTGGAAAGTGACAACAACTCAGAAATTGTGCTGGCACCATCCATTTTAATATTCCACATAAGCAGACGTGCAACAAAAGCTAAATTACAGAACAGCATCATAAGACATCCAACATGAGTGCCTAAGTGATCTTCAGTGCTTAAAATACAGCGAAGTGGCTACCAGGCAATAAACTAGTGACTAAATATCACACCTGACTTGATGTTTGTGCATTTACCTATCCTTTTTGTACAAATACCTGAAAATTTGAGTCCACAAAGACTAAGGTAGTAAGCTAGAAAAATGTTAAAAGTAGTAAGAATTACAAAACATAGGCTGTCAGAATGACTTAACATTAATTTGACAATCTATTTATTTCTGTAATTGTACATATACATATGTTATCAACCAACTACACTTATAGTGATAAAAGGCATCTTTATAGTGTTGCATATCCTTCTTCAGTTTATTTAATACATTGTGAAACTTTATTCCTTTACCAAGTTTTCTCAAAAGACACCAAATCATAATTTCTAACAGAGAAGAAAAAGAGACTTCTTAATAACAGAAGTATGGCAGATATGCTATGCAAAAGAAATGGCTGAAAATCCTAACATGAAATTCTTTTCAAATTACTGCACTGTCACTGTCGAAGCAGGATGGGAATGAAGGGACTCTGACCAGATCAGAAGGCTGGTGAAAGTAAAACTCTGATTTATTCAAAATACACTGCTCTTTTATGCAGAGCTTCGTGAGGACCAAATCCATTGGTTCTGAAGTGAAAACAACCCACCGCATTGGTGCAAAGTGCTTGACACACAGTGATAGACCTTAACTATAAACAATGTGAAAAACAAGAGAGATAAAGAATTATTTACATTTTTCTCCAGCTCTTTCTCAGGCTTTTTGCCTGGCTAAAAACTCTTAGTTTCTTTCTTTGACTGAATCGGAGTCCCACACTGCACCTATTACGAAGTCATGGAGTGCAGCTCTGCCTGCTGCAGAAAAAAATTGAGATTGAAAACACATTGTAATTAATGATGACTTAATTCATTCTGACTGAAGCAATATGAAAACTTGAAATGATTTTTAGCCATCCTGGAACACAGAAGTAACTTAATTTAATCCGATGGTTTTACACCTAAGTAAAACATACTGTCAGCTTGCAATTTAAAAAAAGCTAATTTATAAAAAAGATTACTAAGAAAGTTCAGCAAGTTTCATTATATAGAAGAACAAAATTTTAGATTAAGAGGGAATTAAAATAGGAACTGCATAATGTATTATGTAAAAAAAAAATTTGACCTACTCTTTATTTTTTTTAAATTGACTTACTCTATATAATCAAGTATAGACAGAGCTTGTATCATCAGGAAAGAGGGAGTTAAAATACCTTTCCATTTCTTTCCTTTCCTTCCCTCTCTAATGAACACCTGTTCAAAAGGAAGGGCTATTAAAAGAGCCAGCAGCGTAACAGGAAGGGTAGTGTGTTTGGAGGAAATCACAGATCCTTCAGTGGGCACAGAAGCTTGGGCTGATTTCCAGTCGAGATAGATTCTGATTTGTTAGTTGCACTGCTTTCATTGATATTTATAGCAAGATCAAATCATGAACAGGCATCACTATTTGCTGCTCCATCACTCCTGTTATTACTTATCCTAGAAACTCACAGAATATTTTGCAACAGTCAATGCAAATGGTAAGAGATCAAACTACTAAGTTGTAGCAGCATTTCCCTCTGAGCTCAACCCAAATTCAAATTAGTGGGTACAGCAAGGGCATAATTTGAGTTTTCCACCAACTTAATAATGAGCTCCCTTGAAGTGGTGGCACTCCCTCTGTTGAAAAAGGTTACAATTTTTTGGGCCAAGAAATCAGTCTGAGCTCCTAATTTCGGAGTTTGTAAAATTTAAAAAGAAGCTTATCAGTATCTAAACATCTGAAATATTTAGCACAATCTGTTTCAGCACTAAATGTCTTAGTACCAACAACAGAGTCAGAAAGGAAAAAGACAGATCTAAGAGAGAAATTTCAGAAGTGAATTTTATCTGACTGATGTGATGAATGTGATTTTGTGCCCTTTACTGTCATTGCCATTGTGAGAAACAGCTATACTACAGATCTCCTTGGAGATGAAAGCATGAAAAACCCTCACAGCAAAGCTATTAAAACCTGAGTTTTGGAATCAAACCTTGAGGCTTGCTGAAAACTGAAAAAACAACCTCAACCTGGGGTACACATTTTTACCATTTCCTCAGCAATCTCATTTATAGTTCTGGGTGTATAGCTATATCCATGGCAACAAAATTAATTTTATGCAGGGAACAGTGGCACCCTGAAAATATCAACCACCAATCTTGTCGTCTATCAGTTTATCACCAGCTAGTCAGTGCTTTACATATTTGGAAGTTGAAGAGGAAAACTTTCTACTTGCCAACACAAAATGTTACTTAGCAACTTCTGTTCTTTTTGAGTCCAAATATACTGTGCTGATCCCACACATAACGGAGTGTTTTAAGCAACATACGATTTTTATAACAGTAAGACTTACCAATCCACTTAAGGCTAAAATCCAGATGTAGGAACCAGACGTTAAGAGCTGGAAGACAAGGGTAGGGATTTAAATTTTTGTTTTACGAAATTATTGCTATATGAACCACTAAGTTGCAATATGATATAGGTTATGCACATTATGCACTCATGATGACAATGGGAGACGTCAGACTGTTACCTCTATTAAAATTCAGTTTACCATTCAAAAAGAAAAAGTATTCCAGAAGGAGCAAGTGGAAAAAACACAGGGATCCAACAATTGTTCTCCTTCTACAGAACAATACATTTTATTTTCATATGGCTTACTAAGTATAACAGGATGTCAGTTACAGGCTGCACAGAAAACAGGTCTGAAAGACAGACTGAAGCAAAGGAAATGACTCAGCAGCAAGAGGAGAAGAGTTCCAAGCAGGCAGGCACTCCAAGTGAAGCTCTCAGACATGCAGTCACAGACAGCCTAAGCACCAAAATTAAGGAAATAAAGCTCTTACCCTGTGACATATTTGCTGACATGAAATCACAGAAATAAGCTGGAGCAATTTTTTTTTTAAATCCTGATAAGTCAACGTGGCAGCCCATTGTTTCTAGCAAAGTATGTGACTAATCACCTGGAGAAGGTTATTACCAAACTGGAAAAATGGACTGAAAATGGTTACTAAAATGTTTCTGTGTGATGCTGACTGAATTGTGAGAACACCTTCCCTCTAGAGTTCTGACTACGGAAAGAATGACTTGAGATAAGGGCAGAGTTTACAAATGAGGAGAAGGCAAATGAGTCTTTCCTCAGGCTCTGTATGACGGCAGCAACCTTTCAGGCTCAGCAGGGAGAGATCCCATGGAGATATGGGGCTCAGTGACAGCACTGATCCCCGTTGGGGGGCTCAGTGACAGCACTGATCCACGCTGGATCCATGCTGTGTGTACGAAAGCAAAAGGTAAAAGACAATATGGAAAACAGTCCACATAATATCATGGCTTTCCCAAAGACTGCAATAATAGTGGACTTGAAGGGTTCAGAAGAGAGGAAACAAGATTTCTGAGAGATCAAGAAAATAAGGTGCTGGAGCAGAAAGTGAAGGAGACCAAAGGCTGAACAGGAAAGAGGATGAATGAAATGTTCATGTGGAGCACAAGCCAATATTCTGAAACTGACTACTTATTCTAAAATACTCCCTACTACATTTGGTAGAGAGTATCATAACTATGGTGTTTTTCCCATTGCTTGTGCCAGAGCTACTTTTGAATCCCTAGAAAATATAGAAGTGAGGCTAATTTCTGATAAATTTGCAAATCTCCTATTTCACCATTCAAGTTGTGACACAAGTGTCCATTCATTTCTAGGCTGCTGGGTTTGGGGGTTTTTAATTTTTTTCTGAATAATTACTAGTTTTCTATACCAAGTAGCTATATTTTTTTGGTCATATTTCACAGAATAATGCATGATGTTGCTGTGCTCTATGTTACATGTGTCACATGGTAATGCATGGCATACAAATTAGATTAATTTAATAAAAGTGAAATTTAGCTAAAACCTTGATTATTTACTAAGTCTTACCATAAAAAATACTGTATTCTACATTGTTTGAATTCTAATAGACAAGGGGAAAATAAGCAAATTCAAGAATATAAGCAAAATAGAAAGGTGAAAGATAAAAATGCTTTAGGATTAGGTTCCATTTTCATCTATTTTGGTCTAATTCATTTTACTGACCAAAAAAACCAAAACTGCAGAATTGTCTATTATATTTTCCCATGTAAGACAAGGAAAGAACAGATCACTTGCTTACCACTTCAGCATACTAGAAACACATATTTCTCTATGTTTTAGTTTAGCTGATGAGATAGTTGCTAGCTAAATGTATGCTGAATCATGCATGTGGAAGCATCAAAATTCACCGGCAAACAGAAATACTAACTACTAACTACACTAGTAGTTTAGTAAAAGATGAACAAGCAAGTACATACCATACCTGTAAACCCAGTATGTAGACCAGAGACTTGTTTGTTATAGAAAAGTGGCCCAATACTTGTGTCACCTGCACTCTTGGAATGGAGGAATAAAATGGAACAAACAGCGCAAACACAGGACCCAAGCTGCAAAAAGAAAGGTACAGATGGTTATAAGAATTATACTAACAGCAGTAATGTCAAACAATCAAAAGGAGTTAATTTTAAGTACACAACAATCAAAATGTTACACCACCTTGCAAACAAAGGTCTTCCTTGGGAACCCACACTAGGTAACTTCTGGCATGCTGGGTAATAGATTCATTAGCAAATAAGAACAAGTGGCAAAAAGTATTTTATTTCCCAATGTTTAGGACTGGAGGCAGAAGAGAAGGCAACATATTTCATCTAATAGCAGATTCTTTACATAAAGCACAGCACACAACAAGAACAGCAGTAATCTCCTACATCAGAACAAATATGATTCAAATGAACAAATGGTAAGGACTTTACCTTTCCCAAAAGGTTAAGGAAGGCACTTCACTTATGAAGCCAAGCTCCTGGTATTTATCCAGACTTAATGTGTTTAGAGTATTGCCAATAGAGTACAGCATCTAAGATGGGAATACTGACAGTTTGATTTAACTTCCCTTTGCCAGTGACTTCCATGGCCCTACAAATAAAACTTCCTTTAGGGTCCTCATCTTAATCACAACACAAGATGTTTTTGAAGTTTTTAAACCATCACAGGAAGAAGATTCATAGAATCTTAAGACTTGAAGCAGTTTTTATAATGACCAGATGCCTAGACTGATCTTGTGAACACAAGTTAGTGCATTTCATTCAGACACTCAATTTTGCATGTAATTCTTTTTACACAAACAAGTTATTCCATTGCAGACAATATTCACTGAATAAATCAGGTTTTATAAGTGAATATAGAAGAAAAACAAAGAAAAAATATATTTTCTCTTCTTAGAAAAGTAATTCTAAATTATTTCTTTCTACTCTGACCAAATTGAGAGAATACCACAACTGTAGCATGCTTTTCAGGTTTTATTGATCCTGTGATAAACAGTGACTCAGACACAGAGATTTCACATGCAAGAATGCACTCAATCATAAGATGGGAAATTACAAAAAGGAATTTCCCAAGACTGCAAGTGTATTTTAAAGAGATTAAAGAATGCTAAAAGGTTCCCTAAATGTTAGTATTAATTTACGTCAACAGAGACCACAGAAAGCACTACCCCAGTCCAGAGTAGCTATCAGCTTAATTCAAAGTCTGGTGTCTGACACTGCTCAGTACCCAAAAACCTAGATGAGCTGGAGGAATCTTAGTGATGGGCCTTTTCTCCTAAAACAGTAAGTTCATAGGCACTACAGAGGTATGCTCCTAAAGGCATCAGTGTTTGTTTTTTAGACAGAGTTCACATCTAATATAAATAGGTATTACCTGAATATCCATTCAGATATCTTTTTTAAAATGTCAAAACTGGTGCCCTTCAAAATGCTGTGTGAAACTAATTTGTACAGGCAATTCCACTGTGTGAAAAGTCATTCCAATTAATTTTAAACTTTCAACTTTCTTTATATAATTCTGTACTTTGAAAGTTTCCCTTTATTTTCTGTTGCCTTCAGTATTTTCAATAGTTTACTAATGCCTTTCTTAGAATAACTATATGGAGATGCTGCTTATCTACAGCAGGTCTGTCAGGCAAGTTATGCACAGAATAATACTAGAATATGGCTGACACAGTAAAGTATAACAAAAGGATGATCAAGGAAAATCTGGACCCACTGGTGAAAAAAGGGACCCAGTGACAAAGGACAAGAGAAAACCAGGGCACTCAATGTCTTTCTCCTGTCAGCTTTCAGTGGTTAGTTTTGCCCTCAGGCCTTGCAAGGCCCTGAGCCTCTGGTGGGACTAGAGCAACACCTGCTGCGAAGGAAAACATTTTGGAGGCTCTTGATCCCAAGTGATCACACAGGAGGCAAAAGGACCAGACAAGCTGCACGCTGGGGTTCTCAGGGAGGTGGCCAATGCTACCTCACTGAAACATCATGGTGATTAGGGCAGGTTCCTGACTGGGTAATTGCAAATGTCACATCCATCTTCAAGGAGGGCAAGAAGAGAATCTTGATAGCTACAAAGCTCACCTCAATCCCTGGGAAAGTTACAGAGCAAAGCTCCTAGGAGCCATTGCCAGCTACATGATGAACAAGGCAGCTACTAATATCCCATACGGATTTACCAGGAGTGACTCTGGTACTGTGGGTAAGGAAGGGGAAGATGGCAAATGCTGTACACTCTGACTTTAGGATGGTTTTTGACTTGGTTTCTTCTTCAGCCCTCAAAGAAAAACAGGGAAGATATGCACTGCATAAGCAGCGAAGATTTGAGGGAATCTGGCTACACTGCTGGACTCAAAGGGCTCTGATCAGCAGCACCAACTTTAATGGCAAGCACTTACTAGCAGCTTCCCTCATGGATCTGTACTGGGATGAACACTATTTATTGTCTTTATTAAACTACCTGGATGACACAACAGAGTGCACTTCCAACATGATAGTGAGTGAAATCAAAATGGAGGGAGCAGTCAATACGTTGGAGAGCAGGATCACATTCAGCTTCCTTGCTGGACTTGAGAAATGAGCCGATATTAGGAATGTTAGGGAGTTCAACAGAAGTAACAGTGCATGGAGTCTTCCATCTGGGTTGGAAAAACCTTGGGCAGTGGCATAGACTGGCTAGAAAACAGACTGGCAGATAAGGAGATGGAGAATCCTTTGAGTGTTAGTCAACCTTTGAGTGCCACTTTATCCTTGCAGGAAAGGTCAGTCACATACAGGGCAGCATTATCAATATGTTGTCATATGTTACAGAATTTCTGAGAGACAGAGGTCATGATTTATGTCTGGAGTGAGACTTGAGCTACCCAGTCAGACTAGGCCTGATAAGTGGCCTTGATGGGGCCTCGAAGCCTTTGATGCAGTGAGAATTCAGTTGTGGCGCAGTCAGAAATTATGTTAAGGTAACTACAAAGTATTCAGCCATCTGAGCATGAACTAGAGTAGAGTGTGAAAAGTCCAACCACCTTAAGGTAAAGGTAAACAATGTTAGTGTGCCAATCAGAGTGCCTTTGTAACCTGTAAACTATGTAGAAGTGTATAAAAACTGCCATCTTCTCTTGAATAAACAGAGAATGTTGCATTAATCATATTGGTTGGATGTGCGTTCTGTCCGGCCAGCTCCCCCGATTTTATGAGGCCCCTGACTTTTGTCATAAGGCCAAGAGAAGTAATTGCTCCTGAGACTAAATCTAAATAATTGTGTCCACTTTTGGGCTTTATGCTTCAAGAAACGTATTAATATACTAGAGCAACTCCAGACAGGATAATGTATTTTACCAGGCTGCCCAGAGTTACAATCTCCATCTTCAGAGATACAACCTGGACACCCAGCCCAAAATAACCCGTTCTCATTGGACATGTTTTGAACCCAGGATTGAACTAGATGACTGCCAGAGATCCTGTCAAACCTAAGCTACCCTATTGCTCTGTGAAAAATCAAAGCCTTATTCCCAGAGCTCATGATTGCTGAAGGAATTTCTGTTCCTGTATTTCACTGGGCAGCTACAAACATCCAACCACATACTGCAAATAAAAGGACTGGCTCTTAACTCTTTTAGTTATGTTAATTAGTTGTTTGGTATCATATATCAGATTCAACATCTACAAGTGGAAAACATTCTTACTGAAGGACTACTTCAGTGGGTTTTTTTCCTTCACTTCTTTCTTATCCTCCTGTATTTGATTTTCCTCTCATCTCTTTTAGTCTCCTTTTCTGTGCTTTCCCTCCTTTTGCAGAGACCTTCACTCCAGCCCTTTGTTCATTATACTATGAGACTATCAGGGACATCCTTTCATGTGCCATGATTAACTTCTACTAGGAATCTGTGATGTTTGTGTGCAAAGAAGGGCTATAGATGCAAACATATTCTGACTCTGAACTGAGTTTTTGCCCACTTCATATTTAGGAAGTTAATTTTAGTCACATTTTCATAGAAAATGAAATTTTCAAACAACCCAGAAAACTCTAAAACCTGAAAACTGAATTCTAGAGTTTGAAAATTCTACATGTCCATCCCAAAGATGTACTGTAGTAGCCATCTCTACAATAATTATATTCTCATTTTGAAGAGCACATTGAATTTCAACATTTGAAGTGAAACAGAAACACAGAGACAAGATAGGAACATTCTACATCATATGAATCTATGAGATTGGTTTTGTACAAAGAAATAAAAAAGACATATACAAACAACATCCTTGAAAAAAATAAATCAGAGATGTAAAAATTGTCTGAGAAATAAAAATCAGGGGCAGGTACATCTTACAAAAGAAATGCACTATTTAAAGTCTAAAAGGGTGACTATTAAATGCAGATTAAAATAAAACATTAGCACTAGCAAATATATGCACACAACAAGAAAAACGGTTCTAAAATGCATGAACAAAGGGTTAGAAAGCTAAACAAATCTAGCTTCTGCAAAAATGCTTGCTGCTGTCAACAGAAGTTCTGTGGGATTAAGTCTGCAGAAATAACCTATTTTATTCAGAATGACTCACTACACTTACTAACTGTGGTGCTGTGTTTTTCTTCATTCAAGTTCTCCAAAAAACCATTAAACTGACAAATTCACAACCATGTATTTTTTAGGGGACTAAAAATATCACATAAAAAACAGCTGCAGATGATACAGGCACGCAAGTAGTGCACTTGGAATTCAAGTTACTAAGTCATTTCAGTGACCTGCGTTCCTACAGTCAGCCCAAACACTGCCATATTACACTTGAGGTTCCAGCCTTTATTCTGAACATGCTAAATATTCACAATAACATTCCTTAAAATTAAGTAACTCTGTGGAATGTGACTACCCTTGATGGTTGTGTTCTTCTATCTGCTGGAGCCTTGGACTCAAAAGACCCTCCTACTGCGCCCAATCCTTTCACTACACATAAGCAGGACAGCTCATTGCCTGAGGTCTCTCAATAGCAGCAAAAGCATTAGGCTTTGTTACCCAATACTCACTAGCTAACAGCAATATTTCACAGGAAAGCAGCAAGAATGCAGAGAAAAATTTAAAAATACATCTGGAGGTGAAAAGAAAGGTTCCTCCTGTCCATGGATATCCCTGCAGAATCAGTGCAACTTGCAGTTCATTAAAATTTGAGACTAACGATCTAACCAACAGTTTACAATTCCCTCATGAAGGCGGAAGTCAGACACCTATCCTAAAGTAAGCTTTAGTTTTTAATGCCAAGACTATCCAACAATATATTTTGTAACCTGTGGGGTTCCATGTTCCTCATCTTGCCTGTCAAAATCTGAACAGTGTTTGTACATATATGGTAAACACAAATGTATGTCTGCACATAATATGGTAAACACAAACACCTTCTGACACACAGCAATTTTTAAATTTATATGTCCAAATCCTGGAGCAGTCAAACAGATATTGGACCAACAGCAGCTGTATCAGAACAGAAAACAAACAGCTAGAAGGATGAACAGTTAGTGAAAGAATGCAAACTGCACCATTTATCTCAAGCAATTAGCTTGAGCTAATTTCTCATCATGCTAGGCTGGATTGGTATCTAAAATACCAGTGTGACGCAAAGGGTACAGTCTAATACTGTACCTTAATCAAAGGAAGGCAATATTTTATCAGATCAAAGCAGGAAACACATACTGGCGTTGTTTTATAATGATAAAACAATTCTGAAACAAACACTTCCTTTAATAAGAAGCTGGGGTACTAATGTCAGCCCTTGAGCAAAGACATATTTGCGTATCTCAAAATTTCCATTTCTACAGCAGACCTTAGGTGCTGGAGAGGGAACCACACTGTGGTATTACTTTGTGTACATATGAAGCAAGTTACCTGTGCAATTTCCCTTTAAGCAGTCCTGAATTCTCATTACTTCATTTAAAGCAATTTTACTCTCTGATGAAGCTGAATTATTAAAAAATTATTCAAAAACAAGTAAGGAAAAACAAAATCCAGAATAAAAATAATCCAGAATAAAATAATCCAGAATAAAATTGGTAAATTTCCACAAAGACTTTCTGAATGTGATGTTAGAAGATGAATGCTCCATTAAGACTGAGGAGCTGAAAGCCCTGGATAGAGCCCTTCAGCTCTTTGGCACCTAAAGGGAATCAAGTCGTGTACAGTGGGAGTTCAACACAAGAAAAATCAGTGTACAGTGTCAACCAAGGGCTCCAAGTAGGTACAAGAGTAGCTCACAAGGCTCTGTGCTCTGCTATAGCAAAAACCTTTCCTATAATACAAAGTAACTTTGCCATTAGACCTGTATTTATTTGAGGCTTTCCGATGAGAGAGATGTGTTAGTAGAGATCCTATCTCTCTACACACCTTCACCACTACAATGTCAGCCAACACCTGTGCTGTGAACACAGCCCTAACATTTCCAAAGAGGCATCCTGCACTCTGCATGGATTGGACCCGCCAAAAATACCCTTATCATGCCTTGTTGGTTGTTTAAAATCAGGCCACTAAATGAGGTCATTAAACAGTCCTTTGCAGTCATGAATGATCAGTATCAGTTTTTGGGGAAAAGCCCAGGTAGCTCTCAACCACAGCCTCTAACAGCAAACGAAAGGATTTTTCATCTACCTCGAATCTCCAAAACCCTCTTAACAAACACACAATTGAACTTTTACATTAAAAGTTCTTCACCCAGAAACAAGGTTATTTCAGGTACAAATGGGTTAATTCACAATTTGACATCTCATTCCCTTCCTACTCCCTAGCCACTCATTCTTGTCAATATTATTTTAGGGGAATCAAATTTGTGTTTTAGAAGTTTTTGATCTTTCATGTATTTACCATACATTTTTCATTATCATTATTATCACTGCTTAAAATGTAATAAACAATTTACAAAGGCAGACATTTTTACTAATCTCTCAAAGTCACAGAGTTCTTTAACTCCCTCATTCATTTTTGAAAGGCATTTCTGTAAATCCTCATCATTATGATACTAAAACCATACTGGGAATGTCCACGGGTGTTTGAGACATCTGCTTTAACACCACATCTCGGTATGTCTCAGTTTTGAGGTTTCCTCGTGCTGCACCAGATCTTGTTGGTAAAAAGAAGTTCTAAGTATGTACTGATTACACAGCTCTTTGCTGTAAATTAAGGTATTTTTAACTTCAGATGGCAAATAAACAAAGTTTTTCTCATATGAGAGGGATTTTAGCTGGTCAGCAATTAGTCAAGTAAACTTCTGGCTGAAGTCCCTTCCGCGAAAGTCAGTAGTGTGTAACTTCAGGGGGGAGGTGGAAGTGTTGTTTCTAATTACTCTCTTTGAGCAGACTAATTGTAAAAGGATCAAAAATAGATGCTTTCACATCACATAAAACAGTAGGCAGCAAATCAAGACCGGCACACAAACAGGGCTGGAGCTTTTTTAAGCACTTGAAAAAACCCTACCCCTCCCACAAAGGACTCACGTAATCACTCTTGAGAACAATGTGCAAGGATAAACCTTCTCAGTCAAGCCATCCTGTTAATGCCCTTAACTGCTCAGAGGATCCAAGAAACTACAGAGATGTAAGTACAGAAAACAACTACTTTTTACTTTTTTCCTTTGCCACTGAGCAATAGCAAACAATTCCAGAAATATCTCCTTTTTTGCATTATACTGGATATTTTCATGTGGTAGTAAGGATAAATGATCTTGTATGGGAAAGGCCCATGGAAGAAATTCTCTGATATTTTATATTCCCTTATTAATAAGCTACTAGTTAGTTTCCCCTTAAAGGATATGTTGATCTACAGCATCAACAAGTTATTCCAACTCCTTTCTCATAATCCAGCCTTCTGACAATCACAGGGAAACATTTCATACTGCCTCAACTTAGACAATTTTTTAGCAACTAATTTAAATTATACTAGTGCAGAAATAACTACTGTAGAAGTAGTAAGGGAAGCACTGAAGCTCTAAAGTCACTGAACCTCACAGAATAATAGTAAGAGGGAGCCTTAAAACAAATCCATGCTGTGCTTGTGAATGCATAGCTTGCTTTTATCACATGCGTTCCATGTCTATGAAAACAGCCTTTATTATCAGCTCGAAAACTTCTCACTCTTCTCATGTCTGAACATTGCGACCGAGCATTTTAAGAGTTCAAAGCTTTATGTGCTAATTCCTCTTTTAACTTCTAGTGCACATTTCTTTAAAGGTTTTTAGAAGGCATTCTTCTTCTGAACTGCAATGACCAAACATCTCTCTCCTTATTACTGATCTTTAGATATGTTACAAGTGGTATGATTTTTATACAGCTTCCCAATTTAAAAGGATACATGGATACATTTTTCCTATTATAACAGCAAAACAAGACAGTCTGTTCCACAGAAAATAATTCAACTATCTTTTATCTAAAAAAATAAGAGAGAGTACTTGCCTTTGAGGAGAAAATACAAGAGATCTGTCTAACATCTTCATGATTGCTCCTGAAGAGACAAGGCAATTGAAAATTTACCTAGCAATTAGTCTTTAAGAGTTCAAATCTCATTTCTTTCTGGTCAAAAGACTCAGGACCACGTATAGAGAATAATAAACTTAATATAGAAACTGTAATCTGAAGCTGTAAACCCTAAAAGGGTTTAATGTAACTCAAAAAAAACCTCGAACTCAAATAGGTGCACATATTTTCTAGTACTAAAATACAAATCCTCATTTGACAACTTTTTTCTTCTGCTAGAAAGAATGTAATTTTCAGCGGCTCACACTTTTAGTTTGCTTATTTGCTCTAGTTTTAGGCTCTCCCCTTTTTACATTTGGTACACCTAAGCAAGTACAAACTGAAGGGAAGTTAATAATCTTAGCATCAATACAGCTCTTCATGTCAGTATGTGTTTTTGGCAGAGATTATTTATGTTAGATAGGTCTCACACTTTTTATAGAACACATCACCCTTGTAAAGAGATATCCAACAGATAAGACCAGAATGTACCCTTCAAATTACTTCCACTTTTTCTTTAATTAGTTATGCACTTCAACTCAATTTCTTTTATTTCCATCTCACTTACTGTAGTTTCTACTATTTTTTAGCACCACATAAAACTGTCATACAAAATCATAGTAGTAGACAAAAGCAGGACCATAAAGATCCCACAGTCTTGTGCACTTGCATATTCTGTTAAGAAGCTAAAGAATATTCTAATTCCTTATAACCACTGTTAAAACAATTTAAGGCGCTGTTAAGACAATATTTGGGATTCTCTGATGTGTGTATTACAAATTTGGGTTTACTATGCCAACAAATTTGGATCAATACCAAAGAGGGATAAAAGTACCAGCCTGGAAACTCTCTCATCAAAATTAACTGTGGGTTGTGACCTGAGGACTCAATCCTCAGGTCATTAGGCTGACTCACCAACCTTTAGAACACAAAATTCAATAGCTTTTGAAAAGAAATTAACAAAAAGCACTAGAAACATATGAGTGTTAAAGTGTTAAAAAGAAAGAGGAAGCTTTAGGACATGCCTGTCTCTTGCCTCAGCTTTTATTCAATTACATGCAGTCCTCAGTTGCCAGTCCACACACCATATTATGCACCTTAGGTATATGTTCTTTCTATTTTAACTAAGTGTTCTACTATGCAACTTAGCACACACACTTTTTAATACACATAACTTAGTTGAAATCAAGCCTTTTGCTCAAACAGAGGAAACATTGTACAATAGAGATCACCTGTACAGTAAAATAGAAATACAAACTGTAAATATGTCTGGTCAATAGAAAAAAAAAAAAAAGAGATTAAGAAAAAAATTAAATCTACAAAAACACAGTACTGTGTATTTCCAATTTTCTACTACTGTTTTAAAACAACGTCAGACCTACACAGATTATATCTATAGAGGACTGCAAGATCAGTGAATCTTGCACAGAAATATCTTTCCTGACCATTCTTTTAAAATAATCTATACTCTTTATGCATAGAAAAACAACATTAACCCCCAACATGATTTGTTAAAGAAATATTGTCCATCTCACAGTGATTAAACCATACTATGTGTAGAAAGCCAGGAGAGATCTTTCTACTGAACTGCTGTGCCTTTCCAAGAATATAATTAGTATCCTTAAATTAGCAACTGGACCTGGGACAAATAGACCAGGGATTCATCTTCAAAGAATGAAAATTATGAAGAGACACAGAGAAATCACGTTAGATTACAACACAGAGTAAAAACCTTCTACATGTTCCCTCTTCTGGAAAAGACAGATGGTGCTCCTCAGCAAAAGCAGGAGATGAGAAGAAGAAGAAATTTAATTAGCATTCAGAGAGAGCTTTGTACCACTGCTTGCACACAATCCCAACCCATGTAATCTAAAGTGTAATACTGCAACTGCTGGCTCCCAGCTTAAGTCTATGCTTCTTAACAGTTAAATGTATGTAATATTATGATACTACATATAAAGCTCATCAGACATGAACACGTCTGTGAAGCAGAGCTTTGGATTACACAGTACTTTCAGACTGGGGTCACCATCCTGTTCATCAAACACCTTTTGCTGTGGGGATTAAATACAAAACAAATGTATAAACATAAAACATTTTACTAATGCCAGTCAAATGTTTTCACACAACATGAATCTCCTACACAAGCTATTTTTCCTTCTTTGATGAGATAACAATATTGGTTTAGAAAGACACCTGCACAGATTTCAGACATGCTAGATTTTGTAAGCAGCTTGCCATTGTGCTGGGATTTTTTTCCCCAGATGGATGCTATTGCTGTGAAACATCAAGACGCACAGAGAATAGATTAGCAGCTGCCCAGCTAACAAACCTCACAAGGTAATTGACCAAAGAAACCTGCTGGTCAAAAAGCAAATAGTGCTAAGACTTGAAAATGGCAAGGGAAAGAACATTACAGAACAACCAGCACTGGTTGCAAGCCCGGCATATTATTTAACAGTAAAATGAATTTTAAACTCTCCCAGGCATAAGGTCCTCCCAGGTCAAAGCAGAGAGCAATGCCATACCCTTACACTGGAGATATCCTATGACAGAGTGAATCAGAGAAATACTCCTGGATCACAGTAAACTAACTTCACAAACTCCCACTGCAATGCTGCACATCTCTACCTTGCATACATAATCCACTGAGCAGAAAAAGCAGGGATGTAGTGGTGAGTTTGCCTCCAGGCACAGTAATACCAAGAGGCATCTGGAACCCCAAGCCCTGTGTGGGACACAGCTGGGGTTAGAACAGACAACACAGGATCATTTCACCTTGTAGTGAAATATTTTAGAAGCTTACCTCGAATTGCCCAAACCATGAGATTGTGTAAAGGTAAAGACTCAATGAAAACAGCAACTGCAAATTAATTTTTGAGACATTTAAGAGAGAGACCCACAGTTTTTAACAGGGAAGTTGACTGACCAAAGACTAGAATACAAATAGGCAATTTGCTTTCTCTTCAGTTCTCCAAGACAAACAGCATTTTAGAAAGTATGCTTGTATGCTTTAAATGGAAAGCTATTGGAATCCATACACAATAACTAAAATAATATAATCTGAACTATGCAGAAGATTACATTAAGTGAGTAAGTGGTCTGTGTCACTGGGTATTTATAGACTCAGAAAATATGAAAACTTTAACAACTTTCTTTACAATACACATATACAGACAGGAATTTTCAATACTTTATACCTTAACATATTGGCATGTAACTCTAAGCCAAAACCCTCTGGTACTGTTTTCTTAAATTATTAAATTGGTAAGGGAAATTAATATTATCTTTCTTCCAAGTACATGCTTCAAAGTAACATCATTAATAAACCTGGAAAGCCACTGGAAGAGTCTTTAATCCAACAATCTAGGAGAGCAGAAGTTTTAGTAGTGATTCTAGAGGGTAAATTCATTGGTGCATCTGGATTTGGGACAGTAAATGGTCATGATCTCATGAGTTATTCAGGCACATAACTCTTAAAACAGAGTAATGTCCAGCTAGTCTGAGGTTTGTAGCAGTAAGGCTGTAACATTCTCCATTTATGCTCCAATAATGCAAAACTCACAATAAGTATTCAAAACATTCTTTTTTCAGATACATTCTGTAGAGGATGTCATATGCTAAGTGGATCACTCAGGACTGCTGCCAAGAAATAAACAGCAGCCTGACACAAGGAATTGGGTTTTTAAAAAATATATCTTATCTTACTTAATAGTCCAGACACTTTTCAGGAAGAAAATGTTATTTTTAATGAAGCCCTCTCCATGATTGCCAAGAAAATGTGAAATACCTGCTGAGGTGAATGGAGTTCATCCAACAACAATTAGAGTTCAGAAGTACAAAGAAGTTTTCACAGCTTGAATGATGCACATTATGGTGGATTGTATCAACTTTATCATCTGTTTGGGCCACAAAACACATAAAATCTCTCCCTCTCTTTTTTTAAAAATTAATATATTCAGGTACTGTAGCACCCAAACACCTTGGTGACTCTCAAAATGTCCATACATACTCACAGGTAGACAAAACACAAATACTCATCTACAGCATTGTAAAATGTGTTCCCTACATTAAAAGTAAGAATATTTTGGGGATAACAGAGGATCAAAAGGAATACTTTTTGCCCCTCAGGATGACTCCCACAGCAGGCAGAAGAGCCTGCCAAGGAGCACAGCTTGGCTGACTGCACACTGCCCTGGAAGATGTATGACCTGTGCTCCTCCCACTTTGTCCTCATCCATTTGTGGCCAGTTTGTCTTGGCAGGGAACTGCTCCCAATATACATCCATGCTAGCACCTTGGATAGACACAAACACTGTCTCAGCTAGGACTCCTTCTCAATATAGCCACAGTCATATGTGAGGATGAACATCCTATTTTGAACAACAAGTTCTAGATTAATTTATTACATTAAAGATCCAACTTCATAGCACAAAATTAGGTAACATGCAATTTATGAAATTCTACTATTGATATAAAAACCTATATAATTTAATGAATATACAGGTTTTTTCCTAAACTACAGTTGAATGTGTTTGTATAATAGATATTCTACATTTCACTAATGTTTATACAAAGACATATGAATGGATGTGACAATTATGTGCCCTGTTTTTGAACCAAAACTATTATAATTGTAAAGCAAAAAAAAAAAAAAAAGCACTTGTTACTGCAATTGAACTGTTTATAACAAATCTTAGATTTGTTACTGCAATTGAACTGTTTATAACAAATCTTAGATTTTCCTTTCCTAAATATGTTGACAAAATTATTTTACCTGCATTGCAAGAAAGAGATTAACAAGATAGACATGATGTTGGGAGTGTGAACAAGAATTAGAATCATTTAAATATGAGAAACAAAACAAAATACCTCAGTGACTCATATACAGGTACCTACACAAACCCATACCATTTTATGCAAAGACTGTTACACTTAGGTAAAACAAAATCCATCCTACACACTTCTACAAGGGAAAAGATGGGAGGAAATAATACCATAACTATCCTCAGGGTAATAACTACTGCATTAATCAATCACCAAATACACTAAGACAGTGTGAACAATGCAGAATTAACTAATATAACATTACTGACATTCTTAAATCTGCACTACAGCTGGAGTTGTTATTTACTTGATTAGTTCCTTTATTCAAGGCACAGAACTTCCACTTCAGATTTGACATACAACCCTGAATGCCATATTCCCACGTCCTGAAAGACAGCACTTACTTCACAAATATCTAAGAATCAGAACGTTGCACATCTGTCAGTCAGAAATTACTCACCTGTCTTCTCTCCTATCTACAGAATGCAGCAAACATTTAATGTACTACCTGGAAGTCAAATTTCTTCCTTAAGCATGTAATGTAACTAATTTACATATTTTAATACACATCATCCATATCCATTACTGTTTACAGAGAACTATTAATTGTGAACACCCTGAAATAAGCAGAACAATCTCCTCAAATCATGAAAGAAAATACTAATCTTTAAATGCTTTCACAAGTTAATAAAAGAATAATGAATGCTTTCAAAAATGTGCAGTTTAAATGCCTTAAAACTGAGAGGTATTTCCCAGAAAGACTTTTTGGAAGTACAACAGGCTACAGTTGCTTGTATATATTGTCTGTTGAATGACAAATCTTCAGAAATAACAAAGGCATGCTAATTAAAGGTACAAGACAAACCTAAAATTCCAAACGCAACAGCTTTATCTTCAGGTAGTATTCTTGGTTACAGCAGAAGCAATCTTGTTTTGATTGCTGTTTAAATTCATAAATGGTGCCCCTAAGAGGCACCCTTTCTTAAAACAGCTGTGTGAGGAGTAACACAAGATGCCCCATCCTCTTTGAGCTTCATGCTTACATTACACAACTGTCAGGGAACAGCAGACCTAGAAAATGTTTGCACTGTGAGCAGTATCAACAGAATGGGGTTCTTCCCATTACTGAAATTCTGCTGGATCATTTTAAAATATTTTTAAGCCCCCCCAAATCACTGCCACTTTGCAACTCTTCTATGCTTCTTATGACTCTGCAGATGAAACAATTTCTAAAATCTACTAAATTAATAAAGTGTAAAATAGTTCACCTGCACTACCTCCCTTCAGCAGGGTAACTAAGAATGATTAAAGTAGTAGACTTAAAAATTTATGTATGTAAAAATATTTGAATTAGATTAAAAAAGCCAATTATTAAAACTAGAATTAAACAAGTTATTATTGGAATCTATGACCTTAAAGGTCTTTCCCAACCTAAAAAAAAGTTTCTCTAAACAAGTTAGAGCATCGCAGTGTGAATTGTTAGGAACAAAAATTCCCTTACAATTAACTAAAGCACATTTAAAACATTTTGTCTGCTTGTCTGATCCTTGGAGACTTCATTTTATGCTTTATCATGTGGTTTCTTCAGCCTCTTTTTTCCCCTCAGGTTGCTTTAAACAGTCTGCCACCTCCTGAGCATCTATAGACTTCACTTTACAAATATATTACATCCCTGGTTTACTACACTGGCCGTTGTCTGTTTTTCTTTATTAGAGAAGCAATTGGGATCAAAGCAGAAAAGCCAAATGGAGGCATCTGTTTGTTTTCAGATAGAGTCTTGAAAAGTATTTGACAGCAATAAAGTTTCATTTCATTATTTTTAGTCTTATTTTGCAACAGAGGCTGTCCATTGTTACGTAGAAGTGATTTATCTACATTCCTAACAAAATGTTCCCTTTTGTTGTTTTTTTTTCTCATGTTAGGTCTACTGAGTTTCCTGTAACAACAGTGGTTGCAGAAATGGACCCTTTCACAGCCTCTGAGACCAACATTTCCACCTGTGACTTATACGAACACAAAGACACAGCACGGATATTACTGTCTGTCTTCTACGGCTCCATCTTGATTCTTGGGGTGCTTGGGAACACCATTGCCCTCACTGTCATTTTTAAAAACAGAAAGAAGATCAACTCCACTACCCTCTATTCAACAAATCTCGTCTTCTCTGACCTGCTGTTCTGCATTGCCTTGCCAACCAGGATCGCCTACTACGCGCTGGGATTCCACTGGCCGTTTGGAGAAGCGCTGTGTCGAATCACCGCGCTCTTGTTCTACATCAACACCTACGCAGGTGTCAACTTCATGACGTGCCTGAGCATTGACAGGTTCTTTGCTGTCGTCCACCCCTTCCGATACAAGATCAGAAGGATTAAATACGCCAAGGGCATTTGTGTCTTTGTCTGGTTTCTTGTATTCAGTCAAACGTTCCCATTACTTATACAATCCATGTCACAGGAAGAAAATGAAAGGACTACATGTATGGAATATCCAAACTTTGAGAAAATAGAACATCTGCCATTTATACTTCTTGCTGCCTGTTTAATAGGGTACCTTATTCCCCTGGGGATTATTCTATTTTGCTACTCTCAAATCAGCTGCAAACTTTTTCAAACAGCCAAGGAAAATCCACTGACTGAAAAATCAGGGATAAACAAAAAAGCCATCAATACAATCATATTTGTAATTATAGTGTTCATCGTCTGCTTTACTCCTTATCATGTTGCAATCATACAACACATGATTAAGAAACTTCAGCAAGAACCCTTGTGCACTGAAAAGAAAATTTTCCAGAAGTCACTCCACTATACTGTATTTCTGATGAATTTTAACTGCTGCCTAGATCCTTTCATCTACTTCTTTGCATGCAAAGGATACAAGAGAACTGTACTGAAAATACTGAGACGACAAGTGAGTGTATCAATTTCAAGTGCTGCCAGGTCACATCACGAAGAAAGCTCACGTGATGCAGGAGAAACGCAAATGACGGTACTTGCTAAATCTTCCAATGGAAAGCTACCTGAAAAATAAAGTCTGTAATACACCACAGTGAACCAAGACTAAAAATCCACAGTCCATAGCAAAAACTCTTAGTGCTCCCCTACAGCAGCTTAAGTAAGAATCTGTTTCTCAGGATGTCAGGGAATCAAGGAGTGTTGGACTGAAAAAGATTTGTCACAGAACAGCAGGAAAACTCAGCATTATAATCTTCTTGCTGTATCTTTTTGACTGATCACTTCTTTTTTCCAGGAAATATGCATCATTGCGGATGTTCAAATTCCATGCTGCACATACATATGCCTGGATGTTACTAACTCAAACAGAGCCAAATCACAGTTAGGACTGAGCACAAATATAGCTTAAAATTCAGACCAACTACAACCAGAACATCTGAAAATTTCAAGATCTCTAGCTGAGCTCCAATCACAGCAATGGTTTTGTTGGTCCAGTCACACAGAGGAAATAAAATTTTGATATAAAATGGACAACTTCTTTGCTCATTTGACTATGACAAGTACTTAGTTTATAGGTCTTTAGAGGTGAAACTACATTTTACAATATTTGAAGCACACATGCCTTATTGGACAATTCACATAGAAAACATTGTCAAATGTAACACATTAAAAGCTATTGAACTGTTTGGTTCTCCCCAACACTGAACGTCTCCTGCATGTAAAATTACTCATCTTCACAAGGTGTATTATCACTTTACTCCTTTTCCTAAAGGAGTAAAAAACTTTCCTTTTTAGTGTTTATTGTAAAAAGTCTCTCTCTACTCCTGTTGTATATAGATTATTTATAAACACGAATTGAAGCAAGAGACTGTAATATAAAAACTGTACCATTTCAGTTAAAAACCAGTGATATGGTGTTCTTCAGAACTTCTGCTGAAGTCAGACATGGACATAAGACAAACACTTTAGAAACCTGAATAAATGTTCATAGTTGAGACCATTCCAAAAAGTAAATTAATGGATTAATTCTGATGGTGTCAGATAGCTACCTCTCTTTAAGCACTGTTTACCTGAGAGATCAATAAATGAGAACAGCAGAATTGGCTGGGAAAGAACAAGTTTTCCCATCGTGCCTTCATACAGCATATGTGGGATACCTTTAGGCATGCTGAAAGTGGCTCAGGAAATAGACCAAGTGACTTAAACACATCCTGCTGGAATCAGCTCAATACCAGCTGAGAATCCAGGATGTAAGCCCTGGGTTCCTGCTGATGTGTCCTTCTGTCACGTTTCAGTTTCCTTCCCTACTTTATTCCTGGCCCCCCTATCTTTTCTTTACCATTCTATCTTATTAATATGCCTTCACTGGCCAACACAACTTGGTAACTCAACCAGAAGGTTGTAATGGAAAATCAAAGAGTGCCTGATAATCATCAGTAAAAGCTATGCCAGATATGAGAACAAATTATTTATTTCAGCTGTATCACTCTGACATTGAGATTGTACTGGAAGCCAAACAAACACATTACATTTGTCATCTTTGCAATTCCTTCCTTCCTCACATGCTGATCTCCATCTACCTGCAAACACAGAAGGGTAGTACCTAACGAGCAGTACGGAAATATTAAATTAACAATTAATTTTTTATGGCAAAGAAACGACAAAGCCTCCTATATTTCATACCACTTAGACTGCCAAAATTGAGTTTCTAATTCTAAAATACTAATTCTCTCTTTTCTATTTCTAAAAGACACTATGCAGCTTCACAAAAGCAGTGTAAGAAGAATAACTTTTATCAGAAGTTCTACTTAATTCTGTATGTTCTAGCAGTTCTGTTCTTGTCAGTTTTTTTTTAATAAACTATTTTAAAACATTATTTAAGAATGTATTCCTATTGAATTAAGCAAATGGTAACCAGATAAAATCATAGACAGACAACTCATGAATACCTAGAAGTGGTAGAAATAAAATATATGTATTGTTAACATCTCACTAGTACAAGCTTATTTTATTCTACTAATGTCTAGGCTTTTTTGAGTTTTTACTATGCATTTCATCTGTGATTATAAAGACAAGAAGCCTTTTTTATATTTGTCTGTAAAATATAACTTAAATATGTATTAAGACACCACATATTGCAGGTAACTACACTCTTCTAAGTGGAAGCAAAGCAAAGATTTCTACTGAACATCTTTCTCTATCCCCATTTTCTCACATTAGCAATTTTGTTATTTTCAATATTGGATTTTGTTTCTAAATCACATCAGCATTCCCAAACAGCTAACTTTACATCAAAATACTGCTCTAGCATGAGTCCAGTTAAATATATGTTTGAGAAAAGCTACTTTTTTCTCATTATTTAAATACTTCTCAAATGCAGAAGAAATCAATAAAATAAAAACTTCTAAAAGCTAAGATAAGCTCAGTTTCCTGACAAAAGTCCTGCAAGCACTGACACACAGATGGACAATGACAATTCATATCTGTGGCAGCTGATGCCACTGCTCCTCCTCACTCCTTGTCACGATGCACTCGTAGCTCAATCACACTTGTGTCAATGAGGAGACTTTTCTGTCATCTAAAAAGCAGCAGTGAGGGATTCACTTGGTTTGGGACACTGCACTGAAGCAAAACACTTAGAGAGCATCTGTCCTGTTCCTTGTACCAGCTGTGGCATGGGGCTGGCAGCCATCACCAGAGAGATGGTAACAACCTGCTGCATGGGACCAAAGAAGAACAGTGAGAGTAAAAAGTTACAGCTGTTCTCAAATAACTGGTTTCCTCTGTGATGCCCTTATTATGGCCTGAAGTAGTGCGAGTTTTGCAAGAAAAAATAAGCTTTCTTTTTGGGAGAAGCTTTTTATACATTCTAAGCAATGTTCCTTTCTGTGTGAAAGGCTGGCAAATGGTCACATAGACCTGGGACTCTTTCATGCTTTTCACATACAAACTAAGCAACAGCCAAGTAGCAGTAGGGTTCAAACGGCTTGCTCATTGTGGGGATCTGACTGGAGTACTTCAGAAAAACTGGGTCTGTATTTGGAGGGTGAAGTCAAGTCAGGATATTGAAACAGATGTTCTTGAGAAAACAACAGAATCTCTTTTATCTCTAAATTTTGGAGTGCCAGGCCAGGCGGATGCTAAGAGGACTCCAACTATATGGAGTCCCAGTTCTAGTACTAACACTACATGTCCACTGGTGACATCTCTCTCAAATCCTACCTGGTAGGGAATGTGACAGAGCATATAGGAAGCAAAAATTCTGATGGTGGCCAATTGGTACATTTTGGCTGTCTCTGTCCAAGTCCAGAAAAGAAAACTGGATAGACATCTACTGTCAAACACATGATCAAGTAAAGGTGCACCATGTGAAAAATCCCAAAACACACACACTTCCAGCAGAAGGGCATCTTCTGCTTTTTTTCTTTTACTGCGAACACAAAACTAAACAGTAATAGTGCAAGTACCTCAGCTGCCTTGGACTCTAAGGTATTGAAGATTAACAAACCATGGAGATAAAGAAGGTAGTCTCCTGTGGCTTACAGTCCCAGCAGAAGAGGACAGGTATATCCCAGGGGATTGCTGTGTGGTCCGTGGCTCTGAAAGCTATATAGATGAGGAATCTGTAAGCAGCATGGTCATCTTGCAAAAGACAGTGACAGCAACTGTCTGAAGTTGTAAACATGTTACCGCAAATAACACAGTTCTTGAAAGTGGTTTGTGACTCCTCTTAAATCAGCAAACTCATTAGTGTAAAGAAAAAAAAAAAAAGGAAGGTTTTGAGCTTTTTAAAATAGATATTCCACTTAAGACTAACATTGTTCTGAAATTTAAAAGCTTTTACACAAGCAAGGAAAGAAGAGACTCCAATAAAACACCGAGACAGCCTGCAATGTAGGAAAAATAAATAGCATGTAGCTGAAGAGAAAGAGAAGAAAAGCTTTGCCTTATACAACCACTTCTGGAGGAACTGAAAAGCAGTGACATACTCTGTTCTCTTCTATCACCGTATCTGTGGTACAGAGCAGGGGAACAACTGAAGATAAACTAAGGTTTGTATTCAGCAGTATCCCACTGAGCTGGCTCAATACAGAACCAGTGTGTCAACAGACACACAAATTACTTGAAAAACAACAAATTCATCTGAGTGCAATATTTCCTAATACAGTCTTGGCTAATCTGCAGCCTGCAGACTAAGACTGTGGTACAAAAGAAATACAAAAACTCTGCCAAGCTGTATCACTTCTCTGAAGAAAAATGGGAATTACTGTTTGTGTAGTAAATGCTAAGATATATTTCCTCAATTTTTTCCCCTCAGAATACTCCCTTGGCTTCCTGCAATGTCTAACTTTGGACTTCCTGAGGCAGATGTCTCATCTTTGCACATGACAGCCCTCAATCAATGTTTTCTTCATCAGTCTGTCTGCTCCCTTTTTAAACTCAAATAAAATATCTGTGACTGCAGCGTTTTGCAGCAAGAAGTTGCACAGAATAACTATCCATGGTGTCTGGAGCATTTTTGTTCACTTGTGACACCTGTTAGTTTCATTTGAAGTCTCTTGCTTCTTTATACCAGAAAAAGGTGAACACAGTGACTCCCTATCTACCCTGCCCACAGTACTTGTGATTTTACAGACCTGCATCAAATCCCCTTCCTTCAAGTTATCTTGTCTCTTCTCCTGTGAACAGTCAGATAAAACCTGTTCACCACTTCATTCAAACTCTAAAAGAAGGAAAGAAGGCAAGTATAAATAAAGAATGGGAATACAGCTGTGTTTGTGCTGTGTGGCAGAAGAGAACAGGGTACCTCTATACACACGAGATCAACAGCATACTGATCTATTTTTCCTACCATATTAGACTAAAGGTTCTCTAAACTAACTGACAAATTTGGACAACCTTGCTCCAAGGCACGAAATAGGGAAGAACCAGACCTCAATGGGTTGGAAAAATGGACTCACATGAATCTCATGAAGTTCAGCCAGCCAAATGCAGAACTGAGCTAGAATAACCCCACACAATAGTGGAGGCTGGGCATGACCTGGTTAGAAAGCAGATTGGCCAAAAATTCTGGGCTCTGGTAGACAGGTTAAAGATGAGCTAATAGTGTTACTTCATAGACAAACTGTGTTTTAAAATAATTCTTTCCCCTCCATTCAGTACTGAATTCTGTACCAAGTTTTGGGTCTCCCAGTAGAAGAAAGATACTTGGCATATTGGAACAAGCCCAGCAGACTGCCACCAAGAATGTGGAAGGAGCTTGCAGCACATGTTACCAGAGGAGAGGCAGAGGGAACTCACAGATGGTTCAGACTGAGAAATGTTACTGCTATCTGCAACTGCCTAATGGGGAGGGATACAGAAAAGATGGGAACACCCAGTAACAGGCAAAAGTAGCATTAAGGACCAATTAAACATTAAGAAGCGTTTTTTCATCATGAGGTTAGTCACACATTAGGGAAGGTTCCAGGAAAGCTTTTGATGTATTGGTCCCTAGAGATACTCCAAACTTGATTTGACACAGCCATGCTGAAATTGGAACTTCCAGGGCGGGGCAACATAATCCCCAGTGGCTCCTTTCAACCTGCATTCTTTTACGACTAGCAAATTGGTCCAAGTCATACAGGAAAGCAACATGAAACTCAATGGCCTTGCAGTAAAACTAGCAAATTACATAACTTTAAAATCTTCTGGTCTTGTCCTCTACTTATGCCCTTAGCAAAATGCTGTCATTAGCATCCTCCTAAAATACAAGAAAGGTCAAGGCATGGCATAGATTTCTTTTCACAAAACTGCATTTATTTTTCCTCACTGCAAAGTATGAATTTCTCCTCTTCCTCTTTTGTATTCCTCAGTTGTGACAGATGTTGTGCAAAGAACTAAACTAAAAAAAGAAAGTTTTGCACCTGTTGGAAGGCAGCAACATTGTGGTTATCCTATCCCCCCCAGAGAACTATGCATTGTCTTATACCATGCAAAAGGAGAGCTGTGTTCCTCCCTCTAATCAGCAAAGCTTAGCAATTTCATCCTTCCTGTGGCACATAACTTTTAAGGGAAGTTGTGGTTAATTTAACTCCAAGGCAGCCAACTTTAAATATAGAGATGCTGATTATTCTCAACTCACCAGCCTCAAGAGCAGCCAGCCAGTGTTTCATTGGCAGCTACTAAGTACTAGATATCTTAGTATCACAACTCTGGACAGTTACAGCAACTCTGTCTAGAAGTAACAATCATTGTCCCCAGTGGGACAGGGAGAGAGGAAGCTCCCCAGCTAGCTGCATTTGTGAGGCATTTTTGACAAAAAGGGACAACTGAAGATTCCTCACAAGTTATCACACTATAAAGACAACTCCCGGTCAATTCTTTATTTTTGTCTTTCAAAAAAATCAATACATTGTATTCTCAATGCCAGCTATTTGAAACAGCCTGAACACCCACCAGAACCTTACTTCATTCACTCAGATGGGGGCAAACCAACTATTTTAAATTTGCAAGGAGTAGCTACCAGGAAAATCAAGTAATCTGAAATTATTGACATAATAGATTACATTGTATTAATATAATTTAGCAAAGGTGTTTCACACTTTAACTTCTTTTAAGCCAAAAACAGAAGCCCTAAAACTAACATACTCAGATACCAGCACCAGAACTAATGACCACAAACACCAGGAGTAACTGCAAGAGGAGCAGTTCACAACTCCAGGTACAGCCAGGGCACCTCTGCCCCTCCTTACTGTTCTCCTGCACCATTTCAGCTGTTCAGCCAGCACCCAAATCCCAGACCCTTGGCTATACCCAAGAGCACCAGGGAGAGCTGCCCACAGCTGGCAAACCTAGAGGCCAAGCTCATGGCTGAGAGCAACCAGCTGAGGACCACCACTGCAGATGGAGAGCCCAGGGTCAGGGAAGTGCTTCCTCATGTCTCACCTGGTTTTACTGCCTCCACAAAATGTCTCTCTACATTTCCTCCACTGCATGAGGAAGCTG